CGTTCTTCCTCCTCAAAAGCAGGAGGGGCAGAGGCAAGTTTCCCTTGTCCAGAGGACAGTACACAAGGTGAAGAGGAGTCAGAGGATGTACTTGTTCCAGAGCACTGGGCAGAGCTAGGGGGTCTCCAGTGACAGCTGGGGACAGGAGTGAGGGATGGTTCCCCAGCCTTCAGGTCTTCAGCTGTTGTCCCGAGACCCTTGGGGAGTGGACGCATCTTCATTTGGTGTTTCACAGTGCACCGTGACCTTGCTAGTCAGGCCACACACTGACTTACACCAGTTCTGTTTCTGCACCAATCAATTCTGCACTAATTGCATCCTCTGGATAATTAAGATAAAACTGAGTAGAGGGTTTTCATTAAAAAAAAATAGATAATACTTTTTAGGTTTGGGGGTTTTGTGTTGTTGTTGTTATTTTGACAGTTTCTGACTGTGTAGCCCAAGCTGGCATTTAACTTGTGGCTCTGCTCACTCAGCTTTCCCCACGGCTGGCATTCACAGATGTTTGTCATCATGCCTGCCCAAGGAACACTTTTATATACAAGAAGCCAAAAGTTGCCTTACGGAAGACGTGTTATGATAGGAATGGAGCTGTCTTTTACTTCGGATGCACTGAAGATTCTGGTGAGAGAGGGCTCTCTTGAGAGCAGGTGACTTCTGTGTCATCGTGTTTAGGCCGCACTCTTGAGTGCTGGATCATTGTGGAGGAAAACCTTTGGTATGACTTCCTACAAAACCTGGTGGAAACGTCTGGTAACTTCTGTTGGCCTTGGACAAAGTTGGAGAAAGAATTCTTTGAGTTTCTGGGATGACAAGATTTACTTTTTGTTAGTCTCTCATATTTTTTTTTAACAAACTAAATGTTTTATCCGAAATGAATTGGTGTTTACGAGTGTGCATTCTAGCCACTGCTTTTAATAGTGACTGGTGAATTACCATACGTCGTCCTTCTTTGAGGCAAAAAAATGATGAACTGTGCTGCTTTTTAAAACCACTTTCATGTGATTCTTAAATACTTTTGGCACCTGATTTATCATCTTGCAGCCTCTTTTTTTTTTGCAGTCTCATATTTTTATTTTATTTTATTTTATTTTTCAGATTTGTTTGAATTAGAAACAAGATTGTTTTACATGACGATCTCAGGTCCTTTCTCCCTCCCGTCCTCCCCTACCATCCCCCAACTAAAACCCTACCTATCCCATACCCTTTCTTCTATTCTTCCCCTGACTCAACCTTTCTGCTCCCTCATGACCTCTGCATCCTTCCTCTTCTCCCCTTCTCATTCTCGTAGCTCCCTCCCCCCTCTTCCCGTGCTCTCAATTTGCTCAGGGGATCTTGACCCTTTCCCCTTCTCCAGGGGACCATGTTTGTCTCTCTTAGGGTTCTCCTTGCTTACTCTTTTCTCTGGCAGTGTAGATTGTATTTGCAGCCTCTGTTTTACCTCCTTCGTCCTCTACAACCTCATAGCATAGGTCATGTGATCCTGTGAGCAGCCTGTCAGAGTGTCTTCTTAGACAGGTCTAAGTTCTGGTGGAAGCAGATCAGAATCCCAGGAGTTAGGTTGCCTTTCAGAGTGTTTCGGCCTTTGGCCAACATGTCAGTATGCATGGCTATGAAGTGTTCATTGTTGGTGGAAAAATATTATTGTCCATGGTTTTATTGTTCCCCTCATTTCTCAAGCTTATGAATGTGCTGTTCGGATAAAGAGCACAGACCACAACCTGGCACAAAAGGATGGCAGCCACGCCATCTCTGTTAACTTTTACTTATTTATTGAGAAGTTCATGTATGAATATGATACATTTGGTCAAATCAAAATACCTCCTCAACCTCTCCCATAATCCTTCACCACTCCTCCCTCCTAGCTTCCTGTGCTTTGTGTGTGTGTGTGTGTGTGTGTGTGTGTGTGTGTGTGTGTTTCATTTTAACTCACTGAGTCTGTTCAGTGCTACCAGTATGTATGTTAGGGGCAACTTGTTAGGGGACACATACCTTAAGAAAACTGATTCTTCCTCCCCAGTAGCCTTCACCTGGCAATAGCTCCTCCCCTCCGCCATTCATGTGGGAGCTTTTCGGTTTGATCTTTTACAGGTCAGTGTTTGTAGCCACAGCCACTGTGAGTTCCTATGACTAACGGCTCTGTCTGGAGAACAGTTTCTCAGTAGTTCTCCAAGGCCTCTGATTCTCCAAATCTTTCTGTCTCCTCTTCCATGGTGATCCCTGGGCCCCAGGAAGAGGGGGAATGGCACAGATAGCACATTTGGGGATCCACACTCTAGGGTCTTATTCCCAATGCTCTGACTTGTCGTGAGTCTCTGTAGTCAGTTTTATGTCTCAGTCATCCTATGAGAGGCAGGTTCCCGTGACTGGGAGCCCTCACTGTCACACTGCAGTTTGGGAGGCTCTGCTGGTGTGGTCTCTGCTGGATTTCAGCCTGTCCGAGTCCTGCAAGTGTTCTTTTGGTCAGAAGACTTTTGTAAGAATGAGGCAAAATACAGAATGTCTTGTTAATTGGTATGTCATCTTTGCACAGGGACTGCGCTAATCTTGTCTGTATCGTGTTGGTTTTAACATGTGCTGTCAAACTGAACACTGGGTTTCACAGAAGACTCAAACAGCTTTAAATCTCTCCCTGGTTTCTCTATCAAGGGAACTATTTCTTTAAAAACTGTTGGGACCTCCTCATTTGTTTTATCTGACTAAAAAGTTTGGTCAAGGACAGTGTCTTTCTAGGGTTGGAGAGATGGCTCAGCAGTTAAGAGCACTGGCTGCTCTTCCAGAGATCCTGAGTTCAATTCCCAGCAACCACAAAGTGGCTCACAATAGGATTTGGTGCCTTCCTGACCTGTGGGTATACATGCAGAGCACTTATAAAAATATGAATAAATAAAATTAAAACAAAACCAATAGTTCCTTTTTATAAAGAGAAGAAACACAGAGCCTGGGGCTCTGAGTCTGGGAAAAAAGGGCATTTTTCCAGGAGGTTGTCAGAAGATGAACAATCATTCTCTTGGACACATGCAACTGCATAGTGACTTCCTGCTAGGTGCTCACGGCCTGTCATTCACAACAGCTGTTTCCACTCTACCTGCTAAAGCACTGTTCTTATCTAACCTTTAGGTTTATTGCTTCTGTTTTAGGCTTTATTGCCTTTGTCTAGGTTGTAGACTTTTTTCTAAGTGTTTTTCTTTTTCCCCTAAGTGTTAATGTGTTTTCAGTCTTTACTGTAAATGAGTAGTTACAAATGCTGTCTACTGTAAACAGCCCTCGTAGATGATCCAGTCATGGAGTCAACTCAGGTTACCCGTGGTCAGCAGGAGTGGCTCCAGTTACAGATAACATCTGTTTCATAGCAAGGGTACTGAAAGCCAGGAGCAGTTCAGACACTGGATAGCTACCTGGCATCTGAGACCTACAGGTGTCAGACAGTACACCAGGTGCTGGAGCCAGGTTAGAAACCACCTTGTTACCTGGGTAACCAAGTAACTTCCCTATAACTTGGAGTGGATTTTTCTGCCTGAGGTGATTAGGAGCAGGAAGTAGTTAAAGAAAATTGGCAGTTAGTTCCTGGACTCCTGTCTGTTTTGTTAGATTCGTTGCCTTTATGGCCTTAAATAAAATGGATCGGGAGTAGTCCAAACAAACTCTTCTATGATCCTGGCACACCTTCCATGATGCTGTCTGCAGAGTTTTTTTTTTTTTAATGTGGCCATGTGTGTGCGCGCATTTATGTATACTCATTCCTTAGCAGCCCTCCACCTTGTTTGTTTTGGTTTTTCGAGACAGGGTTTCTCTGTGTAGTCCTGGCTGTCCTCCAACTTGCTGTTTAGACCATTCTAGCCTCTTAACTCAGAGATTTGCCTGCCTCTGTCTTCTAAGTGTTGGGATTAAAGGCATTGTATAAAGTGTGGACATGACCTCTCCAAGGTATGGTTGTGGTTTTATTGGAGATATGAGGGAGAGTACTTCCAGAAGCATAAGGAAAAGTACAAAGTAGGGAGAGAAAGTAATATACTCAACATGGCCACCAGAGTGAACCAGACTGTGACAGGAAAGAGGGAGAAGAGCAAGAGAGGATGAGAGGAAAGGAAGATAGAAGAGAGAGAGAGAGAGAGAGAGAGAGAGAGAGAGAGAGAGAGAGAGAGAGGAGCAAGGAGAGGAAGACAAAAGACCAAGAGAGTCTGTGGCCAAGATGGAGGGTTATATAGGAATGAGAAGCTGGAGTTTAGGGTAGAGGGTAGGGTGAGAAGAGCCACAGGTACTGATTGAGCCTGGAGGCCATCACACTCTTGCTATGGTTATAGGCACCACAGTTAGCCATTTATCATGACAGTAGACACTGCTGTCATTCTTATATTTAAAATACTTCTTTCTATGATAATTTCTGAGAGACTATGTGCTCTAATAGTGAAAGTTTTCATAGTTTCCCTTCCTTTTCTCTCTCCATCCCCATTCTTCCTCCTTCCATTTCCCCCTCAACCCTCTACTCTCTCTCCTCTTTCTTTACTTTCCTTCTCCCTACCTCCCCTGCCCCCCATACACACCTTTTTGTTGGAAATGGAGACTTACCATGTGGCCCAGACAAGCACTGAGTTCATGGTTCTCTTGCTCTTTCCTGGGACCACACACCCAGATTTGAAGCCCCTTGAAACCCAAGGTGATTTCTAAAGGGTCTGCGCCTCTGTTAGTCAGCACTGTGTGGACAGCACAGGATTCTTTGTATAGCAGCAGTGGGGTGCTGTACTTCCTTCAATATTCAGATTCACTTCTACACCCTCTCTCTACAACACCACTGTGTTGGAAATTCTTCTATCACTGCTACAGGCCTGTGAGCCCTGGGTCATTTGCCAGCACTGACTGTGACACTAATCTGCCCTTTGAAGTCAAGGTCATTTCCATTTTTCTGTCCCATAGGCTTCCCAGGACATTCTGTCATCCCTGATTTGGGTGGAGAATGCACAGGAACCTAGAATTGCAGGCGATGAAAAACTCCTTAGAATGAATTATTAAATCCAAACCAGAACTTGTTGGCTTCCTGTGCTTGGCTTAGAATCTGTTCTATGATGATAGTTTTTACAAAAACACTTATGAATAAGAAATAAACTCCAAATATCTTTGCCCCCATCTCCTGCCAAACTCTACCAGGAAACAGCATCTCATTGCTTCCGTTAGGATTTATTAATACTGACCTCAACACTTGGATCTCTCAGGTTTGGCTCACGGTGCTTCTATTTTTACTGTAGTCTAAACTGTGGTCATATGGATATCAAAATAAATACTGGGATATGCTAGCTTGGGAAAGGAAGAGGCAGCAATACTTACAATAATAGATCTACAAACATCTTGCTTCTCTCTGCTACTCCAAAAAAGGGAAAAGGCATGAGGTAGAGGACATCTGCAAGCAATGGACATTTTCCTTTTGTGTGTCATGCATATTCATCATAACCCGCTCACCATCCCAGGCCCTGCCTTACTGTGCATGACTTTGGAGATTCCTGTTTCTGTTGCCAGCTAATTTAACTCAACACAAAGGGTGCTTGGGAATCTGAAGCCATCAGTGTAAATGGAAGTATGGTTAGTCAGTGTATTCTCTTCCTGTTTTTCTTTCATCCCTTGATCACTTCATTACCAAGGAGGAAGACTTTTCTTTTGTTTAGAAATAGCAATAGACCAACTTGTTTCAGGAAAGGGTGTGTGTGTGTGTGTGTGTGTGTGTGTGTGTGTGTGTGTGTGTGTGTGTGTGTGTGTGTGTTGTG